TCGACCTGGGCACCAAAGAAGTTAGTCGAGCGCCTTTGGCTTGGAGGAGATAGAAAGGGGGCCTACACTAGGCTCGACAGCCCTGCAGCTTCAGCTTTGCGGATGCTGGGGGAGGAGACTTGTGAGGATCAGAAGGAGGAGGACCATTTCGAGATCAAAGGCCCATATCATACACTCGACTTTGCTTTCGACTTCGTCGAAATGTGTGGAGGATCAGGAGTTCTTTCGGCGGCAGCAGCAAAGTTGGGTCTTCGAGTTTGCACCCCGATCGAGCTGAGCACTAGGAAGCACTTTGACATCCTCAACCCAAAGTTGCTTGACTGGATCATGCAGATGATTGCCGAGAAGAGGTTTAGGACTTGAGCCTCCGTGTACGACTTTTTCCCCGGCACAGCACCCTGCCTCAAGGAGCTATGAGTTGCCGCTGGGCTTCGACAGAAGGGAGCGAAAGACCTTGCTTGGAAACACCTTGGCTTTCCGATGCATGGTCCTGGCATGGTTTGCCTACCGTTATCAGGCACCTTCTCTTTTGGAACAACCACGTTTGAGCAAGATGGCATGGCTCAGCGCTTGGAGGTTTCTGCTGTCGTTGGGTTTCGAGGAGGCCATTGTCGCTTCATGTATGCTGGGCTCGATTCATCGAAAGGAGTTTAGGCTCTTGACCTGGGGCCTTGATGTCGCAGACCTTGACCTTCGCTGCAGTGGAGGACACAGTCACGTCCGCATCGAGGGAAAGTATACCAAGGAGAGCGCCATCTACACCGAGGGAGTTGCGCTTCACTTGGCAAAAGCTTTCGCCAAGAGCTTACAGGATGCAGAAGACCCGCGACCTCAAAACCTCCGCGGCCATGAGTCGGTCATCCTCAATGACTTGCTCATCGGAAAGAGATGGGAGGCTGTTGCCTCTTGGCCTTGGAAGTAGATTGCCCCACATCAACGTCCTGGAGAGTCAAGCCTACGTCTCTTTGCTGAGCAGGCTTGCTGCTAGAGGAGGATCTCCTCGCTTCTTGGCACTTCTTGATTCTCGTGTTGCAAAAGGAGCTCATGGGAAAGGTCGCTCTTCAGCAAGGACTCTCCAACGATCAGTACGACGGGCAAGTGCAATCACAGTTGCTGGAAACCTACATCCTTCTTTTGGCTTTGCGCCTACAAGATTGAATACAGCAGATGCTCCTACGAGGAACAAAGAGCTCCCACAGCCCTCAAAGCATGCCCTCATCGAATTCATGCATCCGGCAGATGCGTCGTCTCTTCATGCGCTCCAGTTCTCAAAGACGGCAGCAAATTGGATCCGGCTCATCCTCTTGGCTTCCTTTTGTCTTTGCCCTGAAGCTCAAGGAGTTGATGTTGCATCGGCAGTCGCTCACCTAAGCGCCACCATCTCAGATGTTGGTCCCTCACTTTGCTCAGCCTCATGCTGGACTCTCGAAAAGAGCCTCGGCGGCTCCGAGCCTTGGACTTTCGAACCTAGTGGCCTCCTTGGCTCTTCGTGGACTTCTGGACTCTTGCCTGGACTTGGCACTGAGGAACTTTCGACTTTGGTTCCCTCACCTTCCATGGACTTTTGGAATTCTGCCTGGATTTGGCGTTGAGGAGCTTTTGACTTGGCTCCTCCCAGTCGTCCTGCTCTACCCCTCATCTCGAGACGAAGGCTGGACTTTCCTATCCCCACCCTCCTGGGCAGGGAAAACCCCAAACTATGGTCCCTGGTTTAAAAAGTCTTCAGGTCCTGAGTCACATGTGCGCAGCCATTGCCACGGCGTGGGGCCGGTCATTTCCGCAGCCATGCCTTTGGAACCCCGAGGTCCTGAGGACCTAAAGCGAGCAGCCTTGAGATCGGCGACTGCTCTAGCCGCCGGCCGTGTGCTGAAACCGAGGACCCGCAGCCATCGGGATGTTTTGTTGCAGGAGTTTGAACATTGGTTGGTTGAGCATTTGCGCACTACTTTGTGCGCCCTGTTGGACTCAAGGTCCCTCGACGTCGACCTGGTCAATGAAGCATTGATTGGATACGGGAAGCAAATGTTCCATGCAGGCAGGCCATTCGGCCGGTTCTCAGAGACCATAAACGCGGTGGCACAGCGCCGCCCGGCTTTGCGCAGACAGCTAGGTCCCACTTGGGACCTGGCTTTCAATTGGGTCGTTGATGACCATCCTGCATTGCCCCTGTCGATGTTGCTGGCAGTTGTTGGATTGTCCCTGCTTTGGGGGTGGTCGCGTGAGGCCGCCATTTTTGGCCTGGCATGGGCTGGAATCTTGAGAATCGGGGAGATCTTTCAAGCTGTCAGGTCCGACTTGATTCTCCCTGGAGAAGCTGCCCCCGGTTTCAACTCCGTGATTCTCAAGATTCGGCAGCCCAAAACCAGAGGTACAGCAGCGAGACATCAGTGTTCGCGGGTTGACTACCCTGACATTGTTTTGTTGGTTGCTACAATGCTTCGTCCTCTACCACAAGCCGACCTGCTGTGGAACATGTCCCCAGAGACATTGAGGAGGAGGTTTGCCTTGGTGTTGAAAGCGCTTGGCCTGGACACCGAGAGAAAGCCAGGAAGAGCACCCTACAGCCTGGCCTCCCTCCGGCCAGGAGGAGCCACGCACTTGCTCCAGCAAACCGAGGACTCAGAGTTGGTGAGGCGGAAGGGAAGATGGCTGTCTTCTCGAGCGCTTGAAATTTACCTGCAGGAAGCTGGCGTAGCAACTTACACGTCAAGAATGTCGCACGAGGCGCAGAGCCGGATCGCCAGCCTTGCAGGAAATTTTCAGGCGATTTTGAAGAAAGCTGTTTTCCTGAAAGAACACCGCATTCCAGAGCGGTGTTGGGCGCATCTATGGTGAGCATGGCAATGGTGGGAAAGATGGAGTTGAGGTTGAAGCATGTCAAAGAGAGAACCCTCCTGACTGGTGGAAAACGGTGCGCGAGGTCCTGCTTCCTAGGAACGAATGCATGTGTTTCTGCCACGCTCAAGCATCCCGCCACTCCCGCCCTTTGATGCACGGTGGAGTTGAGGTTGAAGCATGTCAAAAAGACTGCCAACCCGAGAGAACCCTCCTGACTGGTGGAAAACGGTGCGCAAGGTCCTATATAGTAAGCACAGAAAGGTTAGCGCATGTCGGGTTTTACAAGCAGTTGCGTGTCAATACAGAGAACTTGCAGCACAATGTGAAACAGTTTCCCGACTGAGCAAGCAGCCGGACAGCCGCACGAACTCAAACATTATTAGATCCATAGTCCATAGTTATACTGTTATACTGTAGCTGGTTCACCTTTGGCCTCCTTCAACCCATCTCACATCTCATCCTAGTGGGATCCAGCGAATGCAACTTAAGCCGCGTTTCATTGTTCCATCATCCTTTTTAGGCAGCTTTTGTGGACAAGTTACGTTGGAGCTGTGAAAAGCGGCGTCTAAGGAAAGCGCCACGTTCCTGCGTAACAGGTCAAGCAGTGGCTTTTCTTGGAGTTGGCCAGTGGGAAGGCCAGTGGCTCTACACCTTGAATCTTGGCATTATATTTTTTGCATCATCAGTGCAGGCCATTGGCTTCCACCCCTTCAAAGGCAGGCACGCTTCGCAGGAACTAGTCATGTGTCATGTGTGTCCTGGTCGACAAGGGGGCACGCCACTGGCTTAATTCTGGCGATATGTGATATGCACATGATATGTTCTTCTGGAATTTGCTCAAGGAACAGGAAACGTCACAAAACATATTCACAGGAAGGGGTACATCCATGGGGAACATAAGAATCACATGAAGCAAAACCAGGCCTTGTGTTCTTCAGTCAAGCTCACCGCTTGAATGAGACTGACTCAGGATCCCTCCATGGGTCGTGCCGGGCGAGTGCTTCCCTGTCCGGCTGCCAGCGAATGTCTTTCAAAAAGACCGGCACACTTTAGTCTAGCTGCTAGCTCGCGCCTTTCGAAGAGCTCCCGGTCGGCTCATGGAAGCGGGAAGGATGTCGTTGAGTGCTATTTGGAGGAAGAATGTGTGAAAGGGAATGGATTCTTCATGATACTTCCATGAACTGCAGACAGGAAAGCAAACTGGCGCCCGAAACCTTCTGAAGAGGCAACGTAGTTGGAAAAACCAGCGAACTGCCAAAAGGCTGCTTCTCCGTCACATCCCAGTGAGGGCAGGCGGCTGAGGATCCAAATAGCAGTCCAAGCGGCTGGAAAAATGGACAAGGCCTCAGGGCTGAGGGCATCTACCAGAAGGTGAACAAAAGACAACAAAAGCTCGGGTCATCCCTTGTATATTCAATACTGCCAACGAGAACATCAATTGGGAAGACCTCCCTGTGGGCTGCCAGCCCAGAGACCCCACAACAGCTTATACCCAGGGTCGACCCAGTGTGAAACCTCATACATGCAGCGCAGGTGTGGTTGGTTCGGCCTATGATTTGTGTAGGTAACTATAGTTCAGACGGTGGAAGCAGCTTGTGCGGCAGTTCTTAATGAAGACCATTGACAGGACAGTGGACAATTGAGCTCATATCTGATCCAGGTGGTCGGAGGGTTCCAATATGGAGGTCCGCACTAATACTGGGATCTTCCCGACAAAGGTGGTGGAGGAGGTGATTTTGACCTACTCATTGTTCAGTTGCGAGATCGACATGAAAGATGACTTTGGACGGGTATTTCACAACCTCAGATTGAAATCCATGTTCCAGGAAAGCCCTATGGCCCATGTACGGACAGAAAATCATGCACATGGGCAAGATGCATATAGGCACTGAATGTTGTGCCGCATCGGTGACAGTGGCCACCGCTCCAAAATAGGGTGCCAACCAACCCACTGGTAAAAAGACAAATTCGTCTAAGGTCTGTGTTTTCCTGGGGCTTGTTTTTTGTTACTAGTAGCGATGCCCTTGTTACTAGTAGCTTCTTGTTCCTAGTATATAATTACGTAGTAAGGCCAGGAGCTACTAGTAGCGTCCTTGCTCCTAGTAGCGATGCCCTTTGTTAGGAGTAGCTTCTTTCTACGGGAGTGCGGCTCTTGTCCTGAGGGGAAATTCCTGCAGAACCTCATCTACCACGGGAGTCAACTGGAGCCCATTGATGAAGCGGTCGGCTTGGCACACGCCACGGGTGCTGGCTCCATGTTCAGTAGCGCCTGGGACCGCTGCAATTGTAGTTCTGGGAGTGCTTTTCGTTCCTTTTGAGCCCGGGGCCTCCTCGTTTTTTGTGCTCCCCGCTTCCGTACTAGAACTAAATTTGTTGGGTGCACAGTGCGCGCGAATCATCATCCTCATCATCCTGATCCGGATACGGCTCTCTGTCTGTGAATGGGACACGCAACCTGTTTAAGCTCAATTATGGGCTATTGTAGGTGCTTCAAGTGGGCCACTTGAGAACTTTGGCTCCCAAGGCATCTTCACACTGGTGGCATCAGCCATGGGTGCGGGCTGCTTGTCACTGCCACACATGTTCAGCAAAGCAGGCAAGGGCCCAGGGCAAAATTTGTCATCGGGCCAGCCTGACATACAAGACTGCCAGAGAAGAGTGAATGGAAGACTGGGAGGTTCTTTGTGCAAATCCTTGCAAGGCAAAAAGTAGCTATTCCTTCTTCCACTTGCTTCCCAAGACTTGAATGCTTTAAGGTACCTTGAATTAGGTATGCTGCGTCCAGGTGGCCATATGGCATGCCCCACTTCCAAACAGTCTGACAGTCTGGAGTCATTCTTGGTCCAGTGCGGCAAAAGTAGATTGCACAACTCCCATGTATAAGTTTGTCTTGGGGCGGTTGGAGGCATTTGCTCGGTGGGAGTTGCTCCCACGATTTGGCAGGCTTGGTGCTAGGGCTCAGCCTGTTGACGTGTGGAGCAGTCCTGGTGACCTGGAGCGAAAGATGGTTTTCCAACCGTCGCCCACTGTGACCATGTTGGACATACAACATTTGCCGACCCAGGCAGAAAGAGAAAGCCCCCCCGCTGGGCGTGGCCCCCGAAAGACGTCGGTCCTCCAGGTTGTGGATTTTTTGAGCCTTGCAGCGTGTTGCGAAACGTCGTGTTCCACTATTCAATTCAACTTTCAACAGTTTTGGTCACTCGGCCACTGCTCTGCCTCTCAAAAAATGCATGTTTTGGGGTAAGTCGCACATGTGACCCTGATGCTCAGTCCGGCTCCAATGGTCATTTGGTGGGATCAGAACCAACAGGAAACCCACTTCGGCACATAGAGACAATATATATTCATTCATTCAAGGTAGGCAGGGTCGGTGATGAGGAAATATTTGTGAAGCTTCAAGTCAATGTCTCCCACGTTGCTTGGCTGCTCAAGCCAAAACTGGGAGACTCCCTTGAGGTGCAGTGCCACTGCAGACACCTCAAGATAAAAGTTTTTCCATTGCTGCCATGTCGATGGCCGCTGTCCACGCAGTGGCGAGCCGCCCATGGCATCGAAATGGTATCGGACTTGGCCTTCTACTTCATGTCCTATGGGGAGGCCACACCTCATCGGCCGACTACCTCGCCTACTTTGTCGTCGCGTCCGGCACCTTCGTGCAATGATTTCATCCTTTGCTGCAATGTCGCTTTACAACTTGAAGGCGCGGTGTGCAGCTGAGCAGGACTATTTGGACCGCTGGTACGCTGAGCATGGCATTGAGGCGGCCTCTGCTCTTGCTTCCTCCATCTTACGCGGCTGCTCTGCAGTCGGACCGGGCAGGGGCTAAAGGTTGACGCACGTGGCTGAGACGCAGGTTCCGAAGCCCTCAACAGGCTTCCTCTTGCCGTGCTGGCCCAGTGCAGGCCCTCGGGGAAGGACATGAGCCTGGCTGCAGTGCTGGGCAGGCTCTTGGGGGAGAATGTGAAGGACTTTGCTGGCCCTGTGCAGGCCCTTGGAGCTCGTGACCACGGCCTCCCTAGTCTGCCAGTTCTCCACTTTTCCAGTTTTCAATTCTCACTTCATTTCTTTCATTTCCAGAATGTCAGCTGTTTCAATCAGTGGGCTAACTCATTACTTCTGATTCCCTCACAGCGGCAATTCATGCGTCGGCACGCGGCGACCGTTGCAGCGTGTGCTCCCGAGTGGCAGTGAATGTCCATGCTGCGTCAGCGGCAGAGGGCCATACCCCGCGGTTCGGGGCTGGGATGTTTTCTCTGCATGCCCCCCAGTCTGAGGATGTCCTTTCTGTGTTTCCAGTGTTCAATTCTTGTTTTTCTGCATGGGCCTTAGTCAGGTTATGGACTTGGTCGCGCACCAGACTGAGGCTTTATGGAGTCCTTCGTCAGGTTACAACAAACTGTTCGTCCCTCGTGATGAAGTCTCTAATTTTGCCTTTTTCCGGACTGCCGGCCTGGACCGTGTCAGGAGCTAGGCACATGCGCCGCGGTCTACTGCGTGTGACGGCTACGTGATGAAGTCTTTGACTTTTCTATTTTTCAGGACTGCCGGCCTGGACCATGTCAGGAGCTGGTCACATGAGCCGCGGTCTGCTGCGTGTGACGGCTAGGCCTGCGAGTCCCTCATATTGAGGTCTTTGATTCTTCTATATTTCAGTGGCAGCAGTCTGCAGGTGGCCGCGGGTTACTGCAATTTTTGACGATGTCGCGTTTACTCCAATACCGACCTGCACGATTCCAGTCCAGTGGGTTTTGAGCAAACACTCATTTCGTCGCCAGCGACCTCGGGTGTTCGCTGCCGGCCGAGTACCACAGTTCAGGTCCACCAATTTTTCCGTTGCAATTTGATGTCTGATCCTCCTGGCCGCGGCCTGCCGGAAGCCAGATGATTTGCAGCTGTCGGCTTGGCTAAATGCTCTGGCAATGAGCAAATGGAGTGGTGCTATGTGCAGGATACCACTGCGTCCATGTCCATTTTACAGCCACACTTTTTGACCGTCCATGATGGCTGCTGTCTGCATGAGGCCCATGCTTTTGCAGCTGTCGGCTTGGCTAAATACTTTAGTCATGAGTCCAGATACCCTTCGTCAGTGACATTGCGGAGCAATGGTAGGTCCCTGCCACTGCGTTTGATCAATTTGCAGTACAAGAGTTGGACCTCTTTGGGTTACTGCACATCATTTTGTCATTTCCACTCCACCATAGTCATACGAAACAAAGACTCTCAAGCTTGAAAAAAAGGAAGGGGGCAGTGAATATTCATGCTGTATCAGCGGCAAAAAGGGCCATACCCCGGAGTTCGGGGCTGCGACGTTTTCTCTGCGTGCCCCCCAGTCTGAGGATGTCCATTCTGTGTTTCCAGTGTTCAGTTCTTGTTTTTCTGCACGGGTCAGGTTATGGACTTGGTCGCGCTCCAGACTGAGGCTTTATGGAGTCCTTCGTCAGGTTACAACAAACTGTTCGTCCCTCGTGATGAAGTCTTTAATTTTGCCTTTTTTCCGGACTGCCGGCCTGGACCATGTCAGGAGCTAGGCACATGCGTCGCGGTCTACTGCGTGTGACGGCTACGTGATGAAGTCTTTGACTTTTCTATTTTCCAGGACTGCCGGCCTGAACCATGTCAGGAGCTGGTCACATGAGCCGCGGTCTGCTGCGTGTGACGGCTAGGCCTGAGAGTCCCTCATACTGAGGTCTTTGATTCTTCTATATTTCAGTGGCAGCAGTCTGCAGGTGGCCGCGGGTTACTGCAATTTTTGACGATGTCGCGTTTACTCCAATACCGACCTGCACGATTCCAGTCCAGTGAGTTTTGAGCAAACACTCATTTCGTCGCCAGCGACCTCGGGTGTTAGCTGCCGGCCGAGTACCACAGTTCAGGTCCACCAAATTTTCCGTTGCAATTTGATGTCTGACCCTCCTGGCCGCGGCCTGCCGGAAGCCAGATGATTTGCAGCTGTCGGCTTGGCTAAATGCTCTGGCAATGAGCAACTGGAGTGGTGCTATCTGCAGGATACCACTGCGTCCATGTCCATTTTCCAGCCACAATTTTTGACTGTCCATGATGGCTGCTGTCTGCATGAGGCCCATGCTTTTGCAGCTGTCGGCTTGGCTAAATACTCTAGTCATGAGTCCAGATACCCTTCGTCAGTGACATTGCGGAGCAATGGTAGGTCACTGCCACTGCGTTTGATCAATTTTGCAGTACAAGAGTTGGACCTCTTTGGGTTACTGCACATCATTTTGTCATTGCCACTCCACCATAGTCATACGAAACAAAGACTCTCAAGCTAAAAAAACAAAGAGGGGGGCAGTGAATATTCATGCTGTATCAGCGGCAAAAAGGGCCATACCCCGGAGTTCGGGGCTGAGACGTTTTCTCTGCATGCCCCCCAGTCTGAGGATGTCCATTCTGTGTTTCCAGTGTTCAATTCTTGTTTTTCTGCATGGGTCAGGTTATGGACTTGGTCGCGCACCAGACTGAGGCTTTATGGAGTCCTTCGTCAGGTACAACACACTGTTCGTCCCTCATGATGAAGTCTTTAATTTTGCCTTTTTCCGGACTGCCGGCCTGGACCATGTCAGGAGCTAGGCACATGCGTCGCGGCCTATTGCGTGTGACGGCTACGTGATGAAGTCTTTGACTTTTCTATTTTTCAGGACTGCCGGCCTGGACCCTGTCAGGAGCTGGTCACATGAGCCGCGGTCTGCTGCGTGTGACGGCTAGGCATGAGCGTCCCTCATACTGAGGTCTTTGATTCTTCTATATTTCAGTGGCAGCAGTCTGCAGGTGGCCACGGGTTACTGCAATTTTTGACGATGTCGCGTTTAATCCCATACCGACCAGCACGATTCCAGTCCAGTGAGTTTTGAGCAAACACTCATTTCGTCGCCAGCGACCTCAAGTGGTAGCTGCCGGCCGAGTACCACAGTTCAGGTCCACCAATTTTTCCGTTGCAACTTGATGTCTGACCCTCCTGGCGGTCTGCCGGAAGCCAGATGATTTGCAGCTGTCGGCTTGGCTAAATGCTCTGGCAATGAGCAAATGGAGTGGTGCTGTCTGCCGGATAACACTGCGTCCATGTCCATTTTCCAGCCACATTTTTTTGACTGTCTCTGATGGCTGCTGTCTGCATGAGGCCAATGCTTTTGCAGCTGTCGGCTTGGCTAAATACTCTAGTCATGAGTCCAGATACCCTTCGTCAGTGACATTGCGGAGCAATGGTAGGTCACTGCCACTGCGTTTGATCAATTTTGCAGTACAAGAGTTGGACCTCTTTGGGTTACTGCGCATCATTTGGTTTTCTCAGTCCGTGGGCCGCCTCATTGCCTTCTCTCACAGCAGCATATCACGCGTCGGCGCGCGGTGACCATTGCAGCGTGTGCTCACACGTGGGCAGTCAATGTTCACGCTGCATCCGTGGCAAAGGGGGCCATACCCCGCGGCTTGGGGCTGCGATGTCGTCCCTGCATGGCCCCCCCCAGTCGGCCTGGTGTCCAATTGCTGCTTCAAGTTTTCAACTTTTCCTCTTCCGTTTTCACGAATGTCCGTCATTTCAGTCAGAGAGCCTAGTTGTGTTTTTCGGTCTCTCTCACAACAATGCGGTGACCGTTGCAGCCTGCGCTCAAGAGTGGCAGTGAAGGTTCATGTTGCGTTGACGGCAAAGCGGGCCATACCCCGCAGTTCGGGGCTGAGATGTCTTCTCCGCATGGCCCCCCGCGCCTTTCTCCAGTTTTATTGTTCTGATTTTCCGATTTCGCGGATGTCCATTGTTTCATTCAGTGAACAGCAAGCCGGGGGCCATACCCGGCAGCTCTCCATTCTTTTTGCAGTTTTCCATTCTATTTCTGCGATTTTAAGGATGTCAATTGTTTCACCGCGGCATATCACGCGTCGGCGTGCGGTGACTGTTGCCGCATGTGCTCACCAGTGGCAGTGAATGTTCATGCTGTGTCAGTGGCGGAGGGGACCATACCCCGCGGTTCGGGGCTGGGATGTCTTCTCTGCTGGCCCCTCCCTCCGGTCTGCCAATTCTCCAATTGTTCTTTCAAGTTTTCAATTTTCTTTTTCAGACTTCGCGACTGTCCGTTATTTCAATCAGTGGGCTAGCCCAGTTTTTCTTTTCTGTCTCGCTCAGAACGGCATATCATGCGTCGGCGTGCGGTGACCGTTACAGCATGCGCTCGCGGGTAGCAGTGAATGTTCCTGCTGCGTCAGCGGCAAAGGGGGCCATACCCCGCAGTTCGGGGCTGAGATGTCCTCTCCGCATGGCCCCCCGTGCCTTTCTCCAGTTTTATTGTTCTGATTTTCCGATTTCGCGGATGTCCATTGTTTCATTCAGTGAACAGCAAGCCGGGGGCCATACCCGGCAGTTCTCCATTCTTTTTGCAGTTTTCCATTCTATTTCTGCGATTTTAAGGATGTCAATTGTTTCACTCAGTGGGCCGACTCATTGCTCTCTGTTTCTCTCACAGCGGCCTATCGCGCGTCGGCGTGCGGTGACCATTGCAGCAGGTGTGCGCGACGAGTGGCAGCCCAGGTTCATGCTGCCTCAGCGGCCACGGGGGCCATACCCGCAGTTGTGAGCTGAGATGTCTTCTCTGTATGGCACCCCAACCTGCCAGATCTCTATTTCCGAGAGTTTTCAATTCTGAGTTTTCCGATTTCAATAACATCAAGTGTTATATCATGAGTCGGCGTGCAGCGACTGTCGCGCAGCAGGTGCTTTCGGATGGCAGTGGCTGTTCATGCTGCGTCCGCGAGCTGAGATGTCTTCTCTGCAGGACCTTCCCCAATCTGCCATTTTTCCACGGTTCAAGCTTTCAAGTCTTACCCTTTTCCGCTTTGAATTATGTCAGTTGTCTCAATGAGTCCGCTGCAACCCATTGCTGTCTGTTTCTCTCACAGCAGCATGTCATGCGTCGGCGTGCGTTGACCGCTGCCGTCAGTGCTCACGAGCTCCAGTGAATGTTCATGCTGTGTCCGCGGCGAAGGGGGCCATGCCCCGGAGTGCGGGGCTGAGATGTCTCCTCTGCGTGGCCCCCCCAGTCCGCCAGTTCTCCCATTTTTCCAGTTTTCAATGGTATCGCATGCGTCGGCGTGCGGTGACCGTTGCAGCCTGCGCTCACGGGTGGCAGTGAATGTTCATGCTGCGTCCGCGGCAAAGGGGCCATACCCCGGCGCTGTCTCTTCTTTCAATCAGTGCGCCGACCCACATCGGGCTCTCTCACATTCACAATCATGTGTCGGCGTGCGGTGGCCGTGCAGCATGTGCTCATGAACGACAGCGAATGTTCTTACAGACAATGGGCAGCACTCGGGCTATCGATTTTGTGGTAATGGCCATGGCGCTGTTGATCGGCAAGGCAAGGCGCGCCCGCGCCTACTGTTTGCACAAGGCCAACCATGAGGTCTTCGAAGCAGTGGCGGCACTCTAACCGTTAGCACTTCGTTCCATGGGCCAGGAGCTGTGTGAGGTGGCGGATCGGCTAGGCAGGATGTCAAAACCTGAGGAGTCCGACCTGCCCGCGTTCTGAAAACACTTTTCGGTCCATTTGCCCATGTTAGTCGTTAGTAGTTTTGTTTTTAAAGTCTTTTACAATGGTCACTTCAGCCTATTGGACAGAGACGTGTCTTCCAACAGCCTAGACAGTTTGCAGAACCCCTATCATTTCCTTGTAGCCAGGACTTCGTCTCCCGCAAGCCCGCTGCCTACAACCCCGCCAGCGACGAGTGCAAGTATGGGCCGCCCGGCCCATTGGCTCAGGATCGTTGGGCAAACTCCTCCAGGCAGTCATGCGGGAGCGTGTCGTGCTTTGCAGTGATGGGGCACATCCGAGACGGTGCACAGCTATGCCCCGACTTCCAGAAGGGTAAGTCTTACTATGGTGCTTGCAATGAAAAATGGTGGTCAACCTCAAGATTGCCCAGGACTTGGATGTGTCTCGCCCTGCTGTTTGCGGGGCATTCAGCGAGGTTACCCCAGGTGGCCACTATATGCGTGGTGCTACGAAATTACGGGCTCCTGAACCGTTTGGCCGATTGGAACAATTCTTTTTCTCTCACAGTCTCACAGCGGCATACCATGAGTCAGCGTGTGGCAACCAGTGCAGCATGTGCTCACGAGTGGCGACGAATGTTCAGGCTGAGTAAAGGGCAGAGAGGGTCCTATCCCGGAGTTTCGGGGACGAAAAGTCTTCTCTGCATGGCCCCCACATTCTGCTAATTCTCATTTTTCCAAGTTCTCATTTTCACTGTTTTCTTCGAGTTCACGAATTTCAGTGGTTCCAATCAGTGGGCCGACTCAGCGCTTTCTCTCGCAGTGGCATACCATGCGTCGGCATGCAGTGACCGTTGCGGCATGTGCTCCCGTGGCAGTGAATTCCTGCTGCGTACACAGCAACAGAGGGCTCGGCCCCGGCGTTCGGGGCTGAGAGGCCTTCTCTGCGTACTGCGATGGCCTCGCTGTACAGTACTGGTCAGCCTGAGGGTTCAGGCCAGTATGGCTGCGCGATTCTTGGGCTGCTGGTGCTTCCTGCTCATAGGATGGTTTGGCACACTGGGCCGGTAGGGCCTGTCCGGGATCCACGACCGTCCGGGCCAGATTTGCTCATGTGCTCTCAATCGCGGTTCCTTCACAACGTCGCGACCCTGTGCTGACCTTGCCCCGAGGTCGCAGCCATCACCCCAAGTTGGACAGAATGGCTGGTGCCATTCACGGGTCTCTTGTCTGCATTAAGTGGATACAGTCTAACTAAGGTCGACTGGAGCAATGGAATTTTTGCGGCACCTGGCCATCTGTGCGACCCTGTCTGGTTCTGGGCCTGTGGACACCTGCACCAGGTATGATTGCGAAACTCTTTGGACACTTGGGCTTCCTGACCATCGGATGGCTGGGTATAGTGGGCCAGTCAGGCTTGTCTGGGATCGCCATGTGTTTCAGGGAAAACGTCGCGACTTTGCTTGTGTTAAGGGTCAGAGATCGCAGCCCTCACCCCGATTTGAAAACAATGGCTGGTGCCATTCGCGGTCGGTCTCTCGTCTGCATTACGTGAATACAGTATATCGGATACAGTCTAAGGTCACCTGGAGCGAAGCAAACTCCATGACGTGGCACCTTGCCACCTGTGCGAACCTGTCTGGTTCTGGGCCTGTAGACACTTTCCCACTAAGGACCAACGGTAGTATGGCTGCGAATGGGCGCTTGGGCATTTGGTTCATCGACAAGGTGGCGGCCCTCATGGCCCTTACCCGGGGTCGTACTTGCAAAGAACAGCGGGAAGCTATGGTAAGCAGGACCCCTGGATCTCTTGCGGGCGAATACATGGTCCACTGTTTGCCCTACGGAGCTCCTGCTATTTCGAGTGGGTGCAGAGCAAAGACAACTGGTCGGACGGTATCAGCCGGAAAGGGGCACAGGACCTATGGTTTCAACGTCATGGTTTTGCACTATATCACACCAACCCCTCGCTCATGCTCCTCCAGCTGCCCTACCACATCAGTGCCAAGGTCTTTCTCTACGTCTAAGTGCTTTGGATGCCTTTAGTGCCTTGGATGGAGTGCTCCCACGGGGAGAGTGTCAGATGTCAGATGACGCACGCGACGCGGGTCGCTTTTCAAACCAAAGCACTTAAAGTACAGACAGTACAGACCTTGAGCCGGTTCGGAGAAAAATGTAGCAGCTGCTGAATTCACGTTGATTGAAGTTCATCAAATATATTCATTCATTCAAGGTAGGCAGGGTCGGTGATGATGAAATATTTGTGAAGCTTCAAGTCAATGTCTCCCACGTTGCTTGGCTGCTCAAGCCAAAACTGGGAGACTCCCTTGAGGTGCAGTGCCACTGCAGACACCTCAAGATAAAAGTTTTTCCCACCCTGCCACACCCTTTTTGCCGCAGCTTTCGTCATGACTCAGTTCTCCACCATGTCACTGGTCTAGCTGGTGGGCGACTCGGCAGAATGCCTAGAGAGTCTGTCTCTTCAACCTGAAGGTTGGCTGGCCGATGCTGACCATGGCTGCCAGCTTGGGGTCCTCACGCATTTTGTTCGCTCCCTTTGTTGGGACACCGCTTTGTGAGCTCGACGTCTCAACCAGACCCATTTTAATGGCCCGGCTGCCTGCCCCAGGCGGACGCTGCGCTGGCTGCCTTGGTGTCCTTATTTCTGGATGTTTATTGGTTGACCGTCAGTTCATGCCACACGGTCACACGGGTTGCTGCCCGCGGTGTGTACCGTCTGTATGCCCTTATTCTTTCCCTTTTAGTTTTAACATCTTAGCTCTGTCCAGAGCTGTCATCCGTAGTGGCCGTAGGACCGCCCCTGCGGGATCCTCTCGGTCACACTAAACGGATGGAGTGCTCCCACGGGGAGAGTGTCAGATGTCAGATGACACACGCGACGCGGGTCGCTTTTCAAACCAAAGCACTTAAAGTACTGACAGCACAGACCTTGAGCCGGTTCGGAGAAAAATGTAGCAGCTGCTGAATTCACGTTGATTGAAGTTCATCAAATATATATATATATACACATTTATTTATGATGTTGTTATTGATATTACATGACTAAATGGTCATCGATGTAAACTGCAGAGTTTTCTCCACCCACTCCCACCTCGCCAAGGCTCATGTGTCTCTGGTGATTTTGATGAGCTGTGCCCGATACACGCAGAGTCGTAGCTTTGCGGAGCTGGTCTCGAACTTGCAGGAGGATCAACTGGATCCACGGATGCATGGGCTCGGACACGTTGAGAAAAGATGGTGAGTGGGACGTGCGACGCATGCACATGAGGCATATGCCAATTTCTGTGGACCACGGGTATGTGGTTTAACGAGACTTGAAAGTGGGCAGGCAGTAGTAAAGTAGTACAGCTACGAGACGAGATGCAGATAATAGTCCATTTCTCTGAACTCAATTGTTATATATATATATATATCGATCTAGATACCGATAGACTAATTGCAGACCTCTCAACTTGAGAGTGCCATGTGCACCCTTCGCTTTCCTGGTGAAGTCTCAGCGTTTTTTCTGAAATCTACTGTATTTGTGTCGTTCCTCTTCAGGATGCTTGAGCGCACACGCTGAGGACGGGCCAGTGAGGGACCTGTCCGTGGACATCGTCATCACATTGTATGGAATGGCAGCGGTGCTTATCTACATGATGCTGATTGGTGATTTCATGTCGGACATAGCACCTTAGACATCCAGACGCTGACAGAAGTTTGCCTCGGCTTTGTGTTTCACAATTCAAGGCATCTCTCTTGAACTTAACTTGTAAGTCAGGTTAAGGTGTAGTTGGCGGTGTCATTCTTTAACAACTCCATGTCACTTTGTTGGTGCTTTTTGGGGTTGTCAACAGAAAGTCCTCAAACCATGTCGCTCCAAAGCGCCTTGTGCCTCCAAACACGCCAAGCGTCGCGCCAAACGCCCTCGCTGAGGCTCGATCGCCTTTGTTTGATTTGGAGGCCGGACCGGACCCCGCGGAGACGGACCGTGAACGGGTGCCAGACCGGTTTCGAGTAGGTGCCACTCTTGGGCCACCCGTGTTAGATGTGGCAAACGGAAGATGTGAAAAGCCAGATGTAGAGAGCAGTGAATTCTGTTGGAGGCGCTGCTGATTTTATAGGCTCCGTGTTCCATGATGAGGTGCCTAGACACTATGTGATTTTGGCCTCCCTCACCGTGGTCTTTCCCTTGTCCATCCCTCGATGCTCGGCACGCACAATAGAGACAGAGAGAGGGGCGTTGGTAGGAGAGGGAACGCAAGATCTGGCCAGGTCCGACCTGGCCGCACTGCTAACACCCGCTTGAAAATCGGCGGACACCGGGTTCAGCAGCTGGATCCTCTCAGGAAACGTCACCGCCTTGAGATACATCTCCTTCCTGAGCATCAGCTCCTTGGCTGCGTCAATGCAACGAATGGGCCCCCTTGCCCAGGCACTGTTTGAACACTTCTTCATTTGGGTGTTGAGCATCTATACATTGCCTCCAGCCTCCACCTTGAGGATTTGACTTGATCACTTGGCAATAGGGACGGCATCTGTCAATCTTGGATGTGGGGGCTTTGTCAACAGGCTACCCTCCAGCAAGACAAACATCTGATATTTGATCTCGGTCTCACCCAGTTGAACTTCATCTCAGACAGCAGATGCCAATCATAGGGCCTAGGATCTGTCCTTTTTGCACAAAGAGTTGGGCAACCCGAGTCACCTGCCACTGCTTTGGTGAGGTGCCATCACCTTCCTCACCCTGGTGGTGGCGGCTAAGACTCCGGAGCATTTGGCAGACCTCGAGGGCTCGAATGACAGCAGCGGGACCAGCGTGCAGACAGCCGCTGAGCAAATGATTTTCACAAGGGCCATGAGGGGAAGGACTCCTTTATGGCATACGTGGTGCCCGATCATGCAAGGACCCGGAAGATCTCACATTGCCTTGGAAACAAGTGCTTATCTACCCGAGCAAGAAGAGTCACACAGACAGACACAAACACACTCACACACAGCTTGGACCTGGGGCTTTTTTTGGCTTGAGGTTGCTGAACTCGACATGCTCCAGTATCAATGGCACATGTCCAGATTTTTTGAGAGCTCGCCACTGTGAGCGTGCGCCTTTAAAAAAAGAAAAATAAATAACTATATATATATATAGATCATAGGAGGAAACATATAAAGATGCAATTGCAACATAATCAAAGCAACACTGCAGACCCCATGGCCAGAGAGTCAGATAGGACAGAGGCCCCAATGGGGTTTGCAGTCCTTTTTTTGATCTCTCAAGTTTTGTTTGAATTTGTTTTTAAAAGAGGTTTTCTATCAGATGCTCACGGATGCTCACAGCTCACAGATGCAGTCACTGTTTTGCACACGCTGGTGGTAACGTGTTCTGATCTTTTTTCTATTTTCGGCCATTTTTGTCCTTCAGGTATTGCAGTGCTTTGCCATGGCACTTTTCTCCTTCAATGCCCATACCAACGCTGCTCTTTGGCTTCACGCTGATGTACATCCCAGCCGGAAGTCGCAGCTGAGTAACTCACAACGTGGTATACACCCACGGCTCGGATTTCAGTGTCGAGGCAACAAACACCCTTACTCAATTGCTCCGCTTATGATATCTTATGACCGTTTTCATCTTCGCGAAGGGAGATTTCACATACACGTAAATATGAATGAACCAAAAGGAAGCGCATGGCAGACATGGACAAAGGAGTCTTGTGCACAGAGGCGATCAGTCTTGGGCCGACGCTGAACTCGCCACACCGTGAAGGGGAAGACCAGCTTCCATTCATTTCCCTTTGCCCTTGACATGGACAGACCCGATCGGGCGTGCCAGACAGAGGTTCCGGTGGCGTTGTCCTTGGACCAGCCGCGTGCCACGCGGATTTGGCATGTCTCGCTGGTGTCGGTGCTAATTGAGCTGCTCGGTGCCGAGGAGTGAAGGGGGTCAGATGTGGAGTTTTTCCTCCAGATACGCCATGTGAAATTCCATCCGGAAATCCATGGATCACTTCACTGATAGA